TTTGTTGTTGTTCTTTTTTGTTTAGTACAAGAGACCTTGTTTCTTATACTAGTTTTTCCAAAAAATAATAATTTAGCTTTGAGTTGTTTAGAAATTCGTTGCAAAATGTAAATCAGCAAAAAGAGTTTTGTTTTTTGTGTATAAGGATCTACAAATTGAATATATAACTTATTGAGTAATAGAGTGCTAAGTATTAATAAATATAATTTTGCTTAGTATTGGCTCAGCGTTGTTTATTGGTGTTTTAGGAGATTCTATTTTGATTTTCTATATTGACAAGGCCTTCCAAACATTTTGGAATATCTAAAAATATATTACAACATATGGTAGCCTTAAAACCAATTAAATATTGGTTTAAAAAGCTATAAAAAGAGTGGTTTTTTGCTTTTCTAAAAAGCAGAGTTGTTTCTACCTAAAATTTTTTTAATAAAATTATATTTTATTTATTATTTTCTTGATACTATTAATAAAAACTATTGTTTACCTTTCTATTTTATTTATTTTCTTTTTTCTTTTACTATTTCTTATTCTTTTCTTGATAATAATATAAAGTGAAGGCTGATTTTATTAATAGTATTTTGGCAAATACTAGCTTTATATTATTAGGATTTAAAGATCACATATGGTTTGGTTATTAGTGCTTTTTTTTTCTAAGAATATTTCTAAGTTCTAAAGTTTAATAATCCTTGTAAAGAGCAAGCATTTGCTATATCTGATTTATACAAACTAGCCAATAGGTTTAACCCTAAATACAATTGTCTATTGCTAATTACCTTATAGTATCTAGAAGGCTATTGAATTTAAATCCTGTTTTATATTTTTTTTTCTTGTTTTTTTTTTTTATTTTCTTTAAATAAAAGATCTTCTACTTGATACTCATGTTTTTTAAAATTTGCTACAGCTTGCTAGTTTTTAGTAAAATTTATTACAATTTGATAACAACAACAGGATTAATCTTTCTAATTTAAGAAAAATATTCAGTATATATAAATATAGCTCTATCTCAAATTACAATATTTGGGGAACCAGATTATTCTTTTGCACAAACAAGAGAACTATTAGCTTTATTTTCTTTATTTTTTTCTTTTTCTTCTCTTTCTGTTTCTTCTTCTTGTTCTTCTTCTTCTTTTATTATTTTAAATTCTAGGTCTCAGAAACAACTAATTAATAATTATCAAAATAACAATATGGATAATCTTTAAAATTTATAAGAAAATGCTGTTAATCAATTTAACTATATCAATTATATAATGAACAATGATAATAGTTTAGATAATTTATATATTAACAATAGTTTTTCTTTTAATGATCTTCTTTCTAATAATCAGGATACAAGAGCTGGTGTTTACTTTGTACCAACTTTCTATACATATTCTCCAATATATTAATCTCCTAAAATAATATCTTCCAATTTAACAAATATTCTACTAATAAGTTTGTTATCATCAGCTAATAAGGATAAACAATCATCTGTTAAGTTAGATAACTCATCTTCTTTTAATTTTGAAGTTTTACTTGAAGAAACAATATCTAGTGATCCTCAAGTTCAACAAGTTCTTTATCACTTTAACCATTTAGTTAAAGCTATAGAAAAAAAACAATCTTAATCTTTCAAGAAAACTTTTCTTGTTCAAATTCCTGTCTTCAAAGGAGGGAAACAAGATCCTATATATTAATTAAATAAATTTGCAACTACATATTCTGTTAATAATATCCAGGAGCCCTAAATATTAATTATTATTCCTGCTTATCTAAAAGGATCAGCACAGTCCTGGTGGAGGACTGTTGCTAATAAAATTCAGTTTTGGAGAAATAATTTAAGGCTAGCTTAATCTTTTGTCTATTTATTTTAACTTTAATTTTGTACTATTTATCAAAAATCTTGATGGCCTGCTAATCTTCAATCTCGAGTTCAACAACCTGGTGAAACTATTGAGGATTATTATACTGAGTTGGAACATCTATATCAAAAAGTTGATTCAAATAATCAATATCCATTAGAGGATAAACTATGCCAATTTATTGATGAACTAAGGAGTAAAATTTAGAAATCAGTTAAAATTTCTTATCTGCTACTATAGCTCAGACCTTAATTCATGCCAAAGTTGCTGAAGCTACTTTTTCTTGAGAAATGTCTCTTGGTTTTTATTCTCTAAATAGAGAATATCTTAACCATTACTCTTCTTCTTTTCATTATTCTGGTAATACTATTTCTATTAATAATTAGTCTAATAATGAAGTTTTTCAAGCTATTCAGGCTATTTTAAACTATTTTAAACAGCAACTCTAGCCAAAATCAAATACTTCTCGAAATAATAATAATAATAACTATTGTAACAACAATAATAATAATCATAATAACAATAACAATAATCAAAATAATAGTTCTTCTTAACGAAATACTATTGTTTGTCAAATTTGCAATAAATAGAGCCATAGTGAATATGATTGCTATCAAAGGAATAACAATAACAATTCTGGCAATAATAATTAAAGGAAAAAAACTTCTAATATAATAAGGGCAGTGTCATTTATCACCTGATTATTTTTTATCAGAGGCTTACCCCTCCCCCCTCTTAATATAAAAAAATCAGATTTTTATATATAATTTTAACTTTTTTTACCCCTCCTCCCCTAAAAAATCACCTGATTTTTGTCATGTTTCTAATAACCAAACCAACAATAATAATTATCAACTACCAAAGAATAATTTTTAACCACAATCTTAAACTTTTCCATTTCAAAATAAACAAAAATCTCAATCTACTGTACATATTATACACTTTCTGCTAAGGAGTTACAAAACTTTGTTCAAAACTCAGCACAGTTTTTAAACTTCTAAAGGCACACTGTGAAGGCAGTAGTGCCTATTAATCAATCTTTTCTTCTAAATCTACTTCTTTATTAAATAATTATAATAATAATTAATCATCTATCTTAAAGGACAATAATTCTAATTTTATTAACAATCAAAATTAGTTTAAATCAGCACTCTCACTGATTTCTACTAATGAATAACCAAAATTTAAGAAAGCTGTAGATATAGTTTACTGTAATGCCAGTGTTGATAAAACTCTGTTTTATTTAATTCTGGATATAGAATCATTTACAAGTATAATGCCAAAAGCTTTTGTTGACAAATTAAATCGATTTATTGAAAAACTATCTAATCTTTATTTTTCTGATATTAATAGTGAAAAAAAACAATTACTGGGAATTATTAATAATATATCTCTTCAATTATCTGATATTACTATTCCTATTAATGTGGAAGTAAATGATGCCCAAAGTTATGCTATAATTGTTGGAGCCAATTGACTTAACAAAGTGCAAAGTATTAGCAATTTAAAAAAAAAAACAATTTAAATTTATTTGAGAAAACAAATCTTATATTTACTTATTACATGTTGAAAAAAGCCACAATATAATAATGGTGAGCTTATTTCTTTAAAAATTTCTCTTGAGTCTAATGACTCAAATAATCAAACTTTAGTTGTTAAAACTAATAAATATAGTGAGGATGAATATGAATTATCTGATAATAAATTGAAAGAATCTAAAAGATTTTGTTATAAAAAATTCTGATGAAAAACCTATATTTGAAATCAATAATACCCAAGTTAAATACCAAAATAAATCTTTTGATAACTATAACTTTTATTTTAAGCAAGCTAGTAATCCTTGAACTATTAAATATTATTGTGCTTAGCTACAAAAAACATGTCTAAAATATATACAAGTAAGGAAAGCAATAAGTTGTTTTACTTTAAAGAAGACTTTGAGAAAACAAATTTGTCTTCTAAAAATAATTTATAGTTACAACAATTTTTAACTAAAAATAACTATATGTTCTCTAAGAGAATAAATAATCTAGATAAAACAACTATAGACTAACATCAAATTATTACTGAAAATGTTCTACCTATTTATCAAAAAACCTACTATATGTTACTAGCTGAACATAAATTTATTCAACAGAAACTCTTTTTGATACTTGAAAATAAGCTTATAATCTTCATCAAAAAGCTTATGAGCCTCTTCTGTTGTTTTAGTAAAAAAGAAAAATAGTAAATTAAGGCTCTATATTGACTACAGAAAGCTTAACAAAATTACTAAATGAGATGTTTATCCTTTATCACAAATTGATAAAATTCTAAATACTCTTAAAGGTGCTAAATGGTTTTCTACTCTTGATTTGGCTAGTAGATATTGGCAAATTGAAATGAAGTTTGAGAATCATGAAAAAACTGCTTTTATTACCAAATATAGATTGTTTAAATTTAATATTATGCTTTTTGGTTTAACAAATGTACCTGCTACTTTTCAATAAGTTATAGATAAAATCTTTTCTGATCCTAAAAACAAATTTATTTTAGTATATCTTGATGATATTACTATCTATTCAAAAACTATTAAGAAGCATTTGGAGCATCTCAAGAAAGTTTTTAAACATCTTCAAAATGCTGGACTAAAATTAGAAAAGAATAAATATTGCTTTAGAAAACAACAATTAGCCTTTTTAGAATATATGGGGTGTTATCTATTAAAACAGCCCTTTTTTACAATTTTTTGAAAAATGAGTTTTTATTAGATTTATATAAA